ACAGAAATCTATTATTCCGATTTCTTCATCAAAATAGGAAGTGGCTATTCAGAAGAACATTGTTTAATTTAAGAGTACATTTCATACTATCCAATTTGAGCACGAATTTGATCGAATGGATAACAAGTTACACAATCATGAATTATGTCATATGTTCGAACCCAGGTGACAACAGTAAGTACATCACTTAATTAATTATAAATCTATGAAAGTATATATATATATATATTCGATCTGAAACGCAAACTGAATTGGAATAATAGCAAAATAATGATTGTGTAACATTTAAAATACTTTTTTAAAAATAATCTTTAGATGTTTCTCTCAATTGAAAACGTATTTAAAAGGGTTTATTAAAGGGTTTACGGCAATTTCATATACGGTAAAAAGGGTTTATGAAAGAGTTTAGGATAGTTTTAAATACGGAAAAAAGGGTTTACGGCAATTTCATATACGGAAAAAGGGTTTATGAAAGAGTTTAGGATAGTTTTAAATGCGGTAAAAAGGGTTTATGAAAGAGTTTATGATAGTTTTAAATACGGTAAAAAGGGTTTATTATACGTTGCACTTTCATCAACCCTTTTTGGGTTTATTATTCTACGAATTTTTTTTACAGTGTACACCCCACACCCGCACCCGTATTTTCCTACGAAACCTTTTTCTGCTCTACGAAACTTAAAAAGGCTTTGCAGCAAAAGGTTGTTATCCTGGATACGTGGTAAGATTTTTTAAAGGTTTCGTAGATTTTTTACCCTTTTTTGAGACTTCGGGTACCTTTGGACGCTTTTAGAGATCTCCGAAACCTTTTTTGGGGGTTCGTAGAAAACCGACTTTTTTTTAGTGTACTTTGCAGAGAAAGTCGTTGGAGAATCGGTGAAAGCAGATACTCACAGAAAAATGTATTGCTCTTTTTCAGATAAAAAGTGAATCAAATCGTTGAAAAACATTCAGAAAAACATTGCAAAATATATTACAGAAATGAGTACAAAAAATATTTCGGATTCCTGGGAAATTGAAATAAACCAAATCGAAGAAAGATGTGATTTTAACGGTTTATTAAAGCATGAGAAAAAAAATGAAGTGCTTCTCAATCAGTACGATCATATACTGCAACCAAAATCTATTACACGAATGATTGACGGCGGCGTCTATCAAAAGTTGGAAAGAACGTGTTATAAAAATGGCTTAACTTTGAATTCAGTTTTGCAATTTGTTTGGCACAAAATATTGAGCATTTATGGCAATAGCAGCCAAACAGTAATTGGTACGAACATGTTTGGCGTTACATTGTTGCCATCGATTATGTATCACAATGTGGACGATTTAATTGTTGATGCAATAAAAAATATTCAAGACAAGATGAATCCCATGATTAATCAAAGTAATCTTGATTTGTCCCAACCAAGTAAAGGAAAGACGAGACATGGTTTATTCGATAGTCTATTGATTTGCGAAAGTCTTTCCGATACTGTTACAAAACTAGATCATCCTTTAACACTAGTTGCTTATGAAAAACTCGATAATGAATGCTTAATATTTGTATTAAATTATGCTGGTGAGTTATTTGAAGATGACACAATGGATGATTTACTAGCTGTTACTAATGAATTGTTAACTCAAATTGCAAATAATCAAGTAACACTAGTGAATGAATTGAATTTCTTACCATTGAAACAATTAAACAAGATTAATGAATGGAATAATACAGATAAAGAGTTTCCATTCAATAATAAACAAACAACACTCCATCAACTATTCGAAACAGAAGTAGAAAAATCATCTGACAAAATTGCTGTTATCTATGAAGATGGGCAGCTTACTTATAAAGAACTCAATGAAAAAGCGAATCAATTGGCACATTATTTACGATCAATATGTGACATTCATCCAGATGATCTGATTGCATTACTTTTGGATAAAAGTGAATTGATGATAGTCAGTATACTGGGTGTGTGGAAGTCGGGTGCCGCATATGTTCCTATTGATCCTTGTTATCCTGATGAACGAATTCAATTCATTTTGGAAGATACTAAAGCAAAAATCATCTTAGCTAATAAAAAATATATAACAAAATTGGGTCCGTACGAATTAATCAAAATTGAAATTGAATCATTATCTACCATTATAATTGACAACGAGTACAGCAAAAATCTAGGGCCTGTTTGTTCAAGCAATAATTTAGCCTACGTTACTTACACGTCTGGTACAACTGGTAAACCGAAAGGCGTGATGAAAGAGCACAAAAGCGTGATTAATGTAGTCATCGATTTAACAGATAAGTACAATCTAAGTATAAGTGAACAGAATGTCGAAAGAATTGTACTATTTTCTCAGTATGTTTTTGAACCTTTTATTCGACAATTTTTAATGGCACTACTGAATTTGCATGTGCTGGTCATCATTAAACAAGACGAGATACACCATGCAAATAGATTCAATCTATCAGCAAATGAGTATAGAATCAGTTATTTGAATGGCACGGCATCCCTGCTTCAAGGATATGATTATACGAATTTGAAAAGTTTAAAAAGACTGATATTTGCAGGGGAAGAGTTGACTGAAAATTGTTTCACGAAATTAAGAAAAACTTTCCAAGAAACCATCATCAATGAATATGGGCCAACCGAGTCGGCTCTTGTCAGTACAATGAAAATGTATGGTTTGTGTGACAAAAGGAACAATCGTAGTATTGGAAAACCTTTGATCAATGTTAAATGCTATGTTTTGGATAAAAGCCTGAAACAATTGCCTATAGGTGCTACTGGAGAATTATACATTGGTGGGATTGGCGTGGCAAGAGGATACTTGAATAGACCTGAATTGACTGCTGAACGATTTCTACTCAATCCATTTCAAACTGATGAGGAAAAGAAAGAAGGCAAGAACACACGTATTTACAAGACAGGCGATTTGGTTCGTTGGCTACCAAATGGTGAATTGGAATATTTGGGTAGAAATGATTTTCAAGTGAAGATCAGAGGGCTAAGAATTGAATTGGGGGAAATCGAAGCAGTTCTATCTTCATATCAAGGAATCAATCGATCTGTTGTTCTAGCTAAAGACCACAAGAAGAAGAAGAATACGGACACGTCATCAACGAAGTATCTTGTTGGATATTATGTTTCCGACGATGATATCGACGAATCTCATATAAAACAGTACATACAAACAAAATTGCCTGATTACATGATACCAAATCGCTTGATGCGGATAGATAAAATACCAGTGACCATAAATGGTAAATTGGATGCAAAAGCGTTACCAGATATCGATTTTTCTGCCGATGAAAACAATTACTGTGCGCCCAGAAATGAATTAGAAGTCAAGCTTTGCGAAATATGGTCGGATATACTCGGAATTGAAAAGGTTGGCATAACGGATGATTTCTTTCGGCTTGGCGGTGATAGCATAGGCTCACTACGGATTGTTAGCCGAGTGAGACAAGAGCATGACTTAAACATATCGGTTAAAGATATTTTCATGTTCAAAACTATTGAAAATCTATACCATCACAAATTGAAAGATCAACTTATCCATTCGAATGGGGATGTCGAAAGCTTGAATGGAATTGAATTAACAAGCTCAACAGGGGAAATTGGTCTATTGTGTATTCAAGAGTATTTTCTGAAGAGAAAAGATGTCCCACCTAACCATTTTAATCAACATGTCGTATTTAC